TAGCGCATCAGCCTTATGTGTAGCAGTACCTTTTGTCAATAGTAGTCTTAAGCGGAACTCCTGATCCTCAGTCGTCAGGTCCCTTAACAGATGCTGGAGGACCTGTTGAGTACGTTGTTGATGTTCCGCATGGTTTGTGGAATAGATGAGTATATCGTTGATATAGATCACTAGCCATCCCTCTAGTAACAGATCCGCAAAGATGCCATCCATCATAGCTTGGAAAGTTGCTGGAGAATTTGTCATTCCAAAGAACATGACAGTGGGCTCAAATAACCCTCATGGAGTAATAAAAGCTCCTTTCCATTCATCACCTTCTTTGATCCGTACATTGTTGTATCCTGTGTGCAAATCAAGCTTGGTAAACATAGTTGGCTTGGCAGAGGCAACACGATCCAATAGATCTTCTACTCTTGGGATTGGGTAGGCATTCTTGATAGTGGCATCATTGAGTTTCCTGTAGTCCTGGCATGGTCTTAGATCTCCTGATTTCTTATTGACAAAGAAAAATGGGGATGCCATAGGAGACTTTGATGGATGAATATATCCTTTCCGCAAGTTTTCCTCAATAAAGGTGTCTAACTCCTTGAGCTTTGCTGGTGATAACAGGTAAACCTTTCCTTGCTGAGGTTTGAAGTTGGCTTCCAAATTGATTGCATAGTCCCAGGGTTTCCGTTCCGGTAATTGTTCTGCTGTACTTTTGTTGAATACAGAGAGGAAGGCATTTAGGTAATCTGGGATGTTGCTAGCAAGGGTTTTGATTGCTCGTAGAAGTTGATCCCAGCAAAAGGGCATCTTTCCAGTGACCCAATCAATTACTGGGTTGAAACGTTTGAACCAGGAGAGACCTAGAATGATTGGATTTCTATCAAGGACTGTGGCATACACTTCTATCTTCATTGGTTGTCCTGAAAAGGATATAGTGAAGAAGACTTTGTGTTTAATGGCTGCGGCTTTATTTGGTGATCCATCGACATTAAACACTGGTCTGGGTGTGATACTCTGGTGCTGGAGATTGTGATCTCGAGCGAACTGGATGTCGATATAATTCTCCATTGCTCCTGTGTTGAGCAATGCTTTGGTGGTGACAGTTTTGGCATAGGTTTTCAATATACAAGGCAAATAAATAGATTTATGAGCTAATCTCGCCTGATATAAATATTCCTTAGTGCCATTGCTTCGACTCGATGTCATGGCGATCAAAGACTTCAAAAATCCTTTTCAGAAGATATAGCCTGAATATACTCTTCAGCTATCTCTTCCTCATTGGAAGAATCCTTGGTTTCATCCTTCTTCCTGAGTGGATGTGTCATGGGATTCAATTGCCCTGATGCGATTGTTTGGGCATTGGTGACTCTGATGTCCGGGTTTGTGACATCTGAAACATAACTTCTTATCCATGTGTTCCTTGTGATCTTTATCTGACAGACGTCTGATCTGTTGATCGTTAGATGATACTTTCTTTGATGCTCCATCCCTGGTTTCAACTGCCTGATTGCAATGTACAAATTTGTTGCGACTGAAAGAGTGGTGATGCAACCTTGGGAAACCTAACCCTAACTTGGGGGTGCAAAGTAAAGGGTGAGTTTCTGTTTCTTGGGGAAGCGGATGGGGGTGAGGGCTTATAGTTGTGATAGCTCACTCGAACGGCAACAACTTCACTATGTTTTCTCGGGACGGTGTCATGAGACTGTTTTGGACCATCTGAACACTCCAACTTCTCGTAGAAGCGGAGGGAAGGTAAGAGGGGAGCTAGCTGGATGACTCAAACGCGAAGTACAATTCGAGCGTGGACACACGGTCTTGTTCGAAGGTTGGGCGCGAGAATGGAACTTCGAAGTACTTAGCTATACACGTAGGTGTGCTTCGAAGGGGGTGTACTGGTTGTAGACGAAGTTCAAAGGTTGTAGATGAAGGTTGAAAGTCGTAGGCATAGTTCAAAGGTCGCTGACATAGTTCAGAGGATTGTAGTCGTAGTTCATGGGGAGACGCAATACTTCAAAAGAGTTCAAAGCCGGACTGAGCTCTGCTGAGTGGGGGATGTAATTCTGCACGAGTCTTGCTACTAGGGGCCGGGTACTGGCTTACAACCATGAAAAACCACTCTTAAATATCTCTCATCCCGCCGAACCTCCTGAGTCACCGCCTCCACTGCCCTGACCATGCTGAACGATCCCAATATCCTTCCTACTCCTGCCTGACGTTGTCACGAGACTGTTTCGGACCGTCCGAACACTCCGACTTCTCGTAGAAGCGGAGGAAAGGTAAGAAGGGGGGGCTGGATCGACGACGTGAAGGCAAAGTGCGATTCAAGCGCGGGCACACGAGTCTCATCCGAGGGTCGGGCGCGAGAACAGAACTTCGAGGGACTTAGCTGAACAAGGAGGTGTTCTTCGAAGGGGGAGCGCTAGTCGTAGATGAAGGTCGAAGGGCGTAGACGTAGTTTGAAGTTTGCAGACGTAGTTTGGGGGTCGTAGTTGTAGTTCGTAGGGAGATGCAACACTTTGAAAGCAAGTTCAAAGCCGGAATGAGCTCTGCTGAGTGGGGGATGCGATTCTGTGTGAGTCTCGCTACCTAGGGCCGAGTGCTGGCCTACAACCATGAAAAAACCGCTCTTAAATATCCCTCATACTGCTGAACCTCCCGAGTCACCACCTCCACTGCCCTGACCACGCTGAACGATCCCACTATCCTTCCTACTCCTGCCCGACATCTCCATCAGTTTCCGATTCCCGTCCGCCGCGCTATTCCTGCTAGTCTCGGAGGCCCGACCGTCGCAAGTCTTAGTGTTGCGACCCAAGCACATTGACTTAAAGGTTTACCCGTCGGCCCTGTATCGTAGGTCCCAATCTCCGGATGATGGTGTTTCGTCTTCAAAGCCAAGCGCCCGGAATAAAGCCACCACCAAAAGATCCCGATCGGATCATTGTGAGATCGCGAGGCTTCGAAGATGTCGAAGGGCGGGCCTTGCTCGAGGGCACTCTTATGTCAAGGTATCGCAGTCGTTCCCAAAGATGTAAGCTTTGAACGCTTCAAATGTTGAGTACGACTCGAGGCGCGCCCATGTGCTACGCGGGCCTATCAACGTGATGTAGGTGAAACACATCAAGTGATGGGGATCAGTTGTATAGTACAGGGTCAACAACAAATAGTTAGGAAAAGAGAAAGAACCCCCCCTGAAGCTGTAACAGAATCATGGTGTAGCTCTGTGACTTCTTGATGAATTTCCTCATCCCTAGGCACGTACACTTTTCCTCTGTACAGCAATAAGCCAGAATTGACTTCAAAATTCCAATCCTCCAGGTCTTTGGAGAATTCTCTGCGTCCTTTTGTCATCAGATCACGATATGTTGCTGTGATCTCATCATTCTTGAGTGCTTTTCTGATCCTTTTGAGTACCATTTGGTCATTCACTAAGGAGTTGTGGTCCATCTGAATCACTCTTAATGCAAAATATTCTTGTTTCAACATTATTGCATTGTGATTATCTAATTCCACCCCCTCTTCATGATCTGGCCTCCCGGACAGACTATCTGCACACTTCAGGGATTGACCAGGCTTGTGTTGTAGAACAAAATTGAACCTTGTAAAAAACAAAGACCAACAAGCCTGTTGTCTTGTCAACTGCTGTACTACTCTAAAGTATGTCAAATTCTGATGGTCAGTCCAGATTTCAATCTGATATGGGTTTCCTTCCAAGTAATGTTGCCATTCACCCAGAGCACAAACTATTGCAAATAATTCTTTGTTGTATATCTTGTAATTTCTTTCATGCTCATTCATGGATTTCAATATGAATGCAACTGGATGCCACCTATCATCAATGTCCTTCTGCTTGAGTACTGCTCCTGTTGTGAAGTCACTTGCGTCAACTTCCATCCTAAAAGGATTCTCTGAGTCTGGAATTTTCAATATTGGTGCTGAAGTGAAGTGATTCTTCAATGTATTGAACGCAATGTCACAATCCTTGTTCCATTCCCATTTCTAATCCTTCTTTGTTAGGATATTAAGTGGTCTTGATACATGTGTGAAGCCCTCAATAAACTGTCTGTAGAAATTGGCGAATCCTAAGAATGCTTGTACATCTTTTACTTTCTTGGATATTGGCCATTCTAGTACAGCTTTGACTTTTGCACTGTCTATTTGCACTTTGCCTTTTGAGATGATCATTCCTAAATACTCAATATGATCTTGTTCAAAGAAACACTTTTCTGGTTTGGCAAACAAATCATTTTCTTTGAGTAGTTTTAGGACTTCTTTGACCAATCTCCTGTGTTCCTCTATGTCTTCTGTGAAGATCAGGATGTCATCCAAATATATGACTACTTTGCCTGTTCGAATAACTGGTTCTAGCACATCATTCATCATACGTTGGAATGTGGCTGGGGCATTATAAAACCCAAAGAACATTACTGTTGGTTCAAACAAGCCTTCTGGCATAAGGAATGCAGCCTTTTCTTTGTCACCTTCTCTGATTCACATGTTATTGTAGCCCCAGCATAAATCTAGTTTCATGAAGATTTTAGCTTTACTAAGCTTATCTATCAGTTCTCCAATGTGTGGAATTGGGAATTTGTTTTTCTTTGTGACTGCATTTAGCGCCCTATAGTCCTGTACTAATCTGAGTGACCCATCTTTCTTCTTGACAAGACACTAAATCACCTTTCTTATTGGTTAATCTACATTTTTCTTTGCATCTGGTCATCTCCCATATTCCTTCAGCCCAATTGATCTCAGGGTTATGTCGTCTTAGATAACTCATTCCAATTATCATGTCCTTTTTCCCTAGGTCTGTTAATAGACATACATGATGACTTTCATGATCGCCAATCTTGATGAATGCTATCACCATGGTCTTGATCTTTCCACCCTTGTTCTGAGTTCTGTCTGCGTTAATCACTGTGAAGGGATGTGGAAGATCCTCTTCAAACAGCTGATTATCTTGAACAAATTGTTTATTAATGAATGTTGAAAACGCTCCTGAGTTGACCAGTGCCTCAACTGCTACTGTTCTGTTTCCTTTCACATTCAATTCAACTGGAACAGTAAATTTTGATTTCACTTTTGACATATTATACACTGTCCTTTCTGTCATTGTACTGTTTACATGTTCTGAATTGTTCACACAATGTGAATCTTTGAAACTATCGTCTAGCTCTATGGTAGCCTTTAGAGTAGATGTCTGGGAGAATCCATTATCTCACTTTCTGACTCTATGTCTGAGAGATGCAATCCCTTTTCTGTAATTCTCTTAACTGCTTTGCCCTTTGATGATTGTGACATTGAAGTGGCCTCTATTGCCTTTATGGTTTTCCCTGGGTTTCCCATGCCCTTTGATTTTCTGACTACGCAAATTTCTTCTTTGCTATCATAGTCGCTGTCAGATACTTTAATTTCTCTGATCTTTCTGAAGCTAGGCTTCAAGTAATTTGTGGTTTGACTGGTCGTATTTGACCCTGAAGGTTTTCCATCCTTCGAGCTGGACGTGGACGTGGACGTTCCGCTCTGTGTCTTTACATTTGGACACATCTTGCCTGTATGTCCTTCCTTCCCACACTTGTAGCAAACACCTTTCTTTTGTGCCTTAGCAAAGGTTATTACTGACACTTCCTTTGCTATTCCTTTTTCCACACTGTCAATATCCATGGTGTTGGGATTTTTCTTTGATCCCCCAGATGTATGGTGTACCATAGACATGGACTGTTCTTCACCCAAGTCTCTGATTATCTCTATTACTAGATTGCAAAATAATGACCATTCCTTTGGCCATTTGGATCTCTCAATACCTGCTAGCACTTGGCAAATTGTCAAGGCTAATCTGTCTCTGATTAGTCCAATGTGTTGTTTGTCACTGCATTTTACTAATTCCACTAGACCTCAGTATTCTCCAATAAATTTTGCTGTAACTCTTATAGTGTTAAGGGACCTGACAACTGAGGATCAGGAGTGCCACTTAAGACTACTACTGACAAAAGGTACTGCTACGTGTAAGGCTGACA